AAATTCAAATCGACATTCTCGCATCCCGGGGGCGGAGGTACTTGGGTTGAGTGCAGCTGGCCTCTCCGAGCCCCTAACCCATTATAATCTCTTCTGTGGCCAATTATAGACCCCAACTTAGTCACTTTTGGGCAAATACGTAATTTTCGCGATCTCAGCTTAGTCACTTTCTATTTTTATGAATTGACCTATTTTTTTAGATTGAACGAAGAGCACTTTACTTTTCATCTACATTGAAAACATTCTCGTACGTTTGCTAACCGTAAATGTGAAGAGCTGCACTGTTTTACTCCCCAAAATCTGAAAATGTGCGACCCACTTCTAGTAAGTCTATTGAAAATGCGATCCCATTATAGTCAATCCAGTCGTGAAAATGCGACCCCAATCCACCGGTACATCTCCATTAGTCTTACGAGGAAGTACCCCCTCCCGGGTCTTGCATCATGCGTAATGAGCAGTGAATATTTTACGAGAACTTGTCTGTATTTGGTCAGATTGAAAGTCTTTAAATGGGTAAAATTTCTTGGAAGACATTTAAATCAAATTCAGGGAAACTGAGCTGGTCGAAATTTCGTTACCGAATCGCGTGTGAATTCAGGGCTCACTACACATGCAATTGCAAGAATGCAGAGATAAAAAAGAAATTATCGAGTTCTAATTATTTTATTATCTTTGGGGGTACCCTTGACCTGGCTTGACTGTAACCGTTAAAGCCTCACTAATTCCACACATAATCTGTCTACTATATTAGACTTATATTTCACAAACTGCTCTCTAAAACAACAAAAAATGAGTTAACGGGAGTGCAGTTATCAGTCAGGCGATTCCTATTACATAATATTCCTTTTAAGCAGGATATTAAAGGAAAAACGAGTCTATTTTTGAGTGGAATTAGCTAATCACGCTAACGTCGGTCGCGCATCACCAATCATGACAAGCATTTCAGGAAATGCTACCGCAGTCATTAAACGTGACGATGGATGACCACTCAAGAAACCGCGTGAAACTCCTCTTTGCCGTTGCAATTTTTCCCTCGCGGCGGCCTCATGTATAGGAATCCGGATTCCGCAATCAGGGAAATTTTCGCTTATGGAATCGGGAATCAGGAAAAATTCGGCTCGCGGTTTCGGAGTCCTGGGCTTTGAAATCCGGAATACAACTCAAGGAATCCGTAATCCCGTTAACGATCGGAATCCGTAATCTAAGTGTCACTGACAAAGAACCAGGACTCCAGTTGCTGGAACCCGAAATCTACGGCGTGGAATCCAGAATCCAAGACTGTATTCATTTGGATTTCTTTACATACTAGGTCGATTTTTCCGTTGTTATTTTCCAGTTTTGTGATTGGTGTTTATTTGGAAAGGGTACGCTTTATTATCAATCCCTTCAAGCCTTTCAGAACACTTGGAAGGGCACTTTAGAGATCGCATGTTTTGTTTCAACTTTGGTAATCGGAACTCAATGTAATAGCAATTTCAATTTGCCGATTTGGACACCTTTCTAAAAATCTAACCATAAATAAGAATACCACTGGGTTGTTTTTGCCATTTAAAGACCATTTTTTTTCCAATTAAGCAGCGTGATATCACGCCATTATCGATTACATGCTTTCGCAAACAAAGCAGGAGACCATTCTTTTAAATGTAGCTTTAGACTGGCATTCTTTCCTTGCATTATACAATAGAACTTTGCTTGAGAATCGTTCGAGATTCCAATTTAAATTAAGGAAAAGAAGAAAAAAAGGAAGTCATTTGCCGGGCTTGAACCATTTTGATGAAAGACTGTCCTTGTCAGTTTAGAGTGTTTTCACATGACGTCACGGTGGCCATTTTGGTGGTCCAAAACAATGAAACGGCGGCCATGTTGGTGTACCAAGACAACCCTGTGGGAATTGAACTCTTTTGTTACGTAAAAACTTTCTTTTGTTCCCATAAATTAGCATAGATGCTGGCCACGTGAGGGAAACGCTCTATATTGTGCCAGGCAAAGCTTTTCGCTATAAAAGAGGTCATTCAAATGTAACCGGATTTAGCCGTTTCTTTTTAAGTTTAAACATGAGATTGACCTATACACGAAATAAGGAAGTGCGGGGGACAATTAATCTAAATAAGCTTGGTGAAATTACAGACGAGTGATGAATATGGGAAGAAGGCTTTTGTCAGCGTTTTAAGTTTGTGCTTGTGTTTATACTTATATCTCAAGGTGCTACAAGCTTAGTTTCTAATACTTTAAAGGAGATATAGCCACGCACGGCATCTTGGGCCATTTAGGGAAGTCCTTCTGAGTTTTTGATAGGCCCAAACCATCGAGGAATGAAGGGTTAATTGGTGATTGTGAGCTAATAGTCTTGAACTTCGAAACCGGAAATTCTTCTTTCCCAGCGTAAACGGCGTTTAACAACACTTATAAGTGAGATTTTTGTAGAGAACTATTCCAATTAAAGGTTTGCGGGCAGCTTAGGTTAAAACATCAGGATTTATTGGCAGTGTTAATCTCTTCCTGGTTATCTTCTAGGCACAACAAATCTGAATGTTCATTTAAGAGATTATTAAACCCAACACAGTGAACATCATGTGAGAAGACCTCACCAGTCTAAAAATTACCCCATATTGTATGAACACGGTTATCTCAGAGAAAATAGAGTAAAACAAGTGATGACGTCACAAAACCTGAATTTGTGAAATTATGAGATCTCTTCGGTTTTTTAGAGAGGGCAAGATGTGAAACGCCTCATTGCCAAAGAGCAGAAAGTCACCTAGCAATAATTATTATATGTTAAATGAGTCAGAATATGATCTGCAGGATTATGCAGGTTGAGGATGCCAGGGTTGGTTCCCGGGGTGTCCTCCGGATTCAAGTCACAGGGATGATCGAATGGGGGCAAAAGTCAACCCCCCCCCCCTGCCCAAAAAATAAATCCCTAGGGCTTCAAAAAAAAATCCGTGGAACAAAATCTAACTCCAAACAAGAGCCATAATAGGACTATTATGGCTCTTGCTCCAAATAAATTCCGTGCCGAATTTCCGAGCCATAAAAATCAGTTCCACAGGAACTACGCGGCCGAGACACGCGGGAACTATCAAGAATCTTCAGATTGTTTTGAATATCCCCAAAAATCCCTTCTTAAATCAAGCCACCCCCCAAAAAATACTTTCCAAAATATTCTTACCCCAAAAAAATCCGGAAATAGGAAATTTCAAACCTCAAAAAATCCTTCGATCACCCCTGTCACTTGAAATCAGGAGTAATCTTCCCCCTCCCCCCGTGGGGGTTGGTTATCGACCGAGGCGGATAACACCCTCTGACCGAGATCTGTATAATTCTTCAGCTTATTCGAAAGTCAGTCTTATTATTCATCTAGAATCATTTTGAATTTAAAAGCTTGCATAACCTCAGTCATTGTAAAGTTCCCGTCTCTATTCACCTGTTCCTTGGCAAATTCAGGATAGAACTGAAATGTTTGTCATAGCAGATATAGAGTTGTATACCGTATAATCTCAAATAAGCGCCCATCTCACCCCTCCAATAAGCGCCCCCTCCTCTCCCCCGTAACTAGAGAGTATAAGGTGATGTTACACGGGTGCAACACAGTGCAACACAGCGTTGTAATGTTGGAACAATGTTGTAACAATTCGAAACAACGTCGCAACAATGTTGCAACGCTGTGTTGCGCTAAAAATCATCGTGTGCGAATTGTCTCATGTAACATCACCTATAAGCAACGACGACGGCGACGTCAACGAGAACAACAAAAAAAGCAACAGGTTTAGATTAGCAAAACAACGACTCTGCACCTGCATCATGCTTGTTTGTACATTTCTTTGCCGTCACTGCACGACTACGACGTGAAAATATATACCTAATTTCACGTTTTGTGGAGGACGTGTTTGAACACAGGACAACAAATTTCTTTTCCTTTTGCTGAACTTCGATATAGTCTTTTAGGATTCAACTCCAGAAAAAAAAATGGCAAAATTTGACGAATTGAACGAGATGGGATAAGCGCGATAAAGTTTGAAGCAGCGAGAATTCTTATTTTAAGTGATTTTCAGTTCATAGCCATCGCCGTCGTCGTTGCTTAAGTTCCTTATTTTCTTAAATAGTAGGGATGATAATGATAGTAACTGTTTCTATTATCACATTATTGATAACTCTGTGTGTAAACTGTTTAATTGCACTAAGGTCCGATGTAAAACGTAATTACCGAAAAAAAAGAAAAGAAAAAAAGCCCCGGGTGCTTACTCGAGGAAAATGCGGTATTCGCTGTTTATGCTATGTTTTTAGGCCGAAGTTCGGCTTGTTTTCTTCGCAAGACGTGTCAAAATTTGCCCCCTTTTTTCAAGTTCTTCCAAACTCATCTGATCATGAGCTAACACAACCTCGTTTTCAGGGTAACCTGGTTGCCGTGCCTTTTTCTTGCCATTAGTCCTACACTATTGACGTCATTTTACTAGACATCGCAAACGTCTTCCTAATTTAGTCAGCACTAGCTAGCTTGCGGAGATCTTCATATTAATAATAAGAATTGGCGTAGCACTATTTTTAGCCTGCAAGCAAGCTCTCCATTTAGAGTAATCGCGAAAAGTCACCTGCGAGCCGCAAGCGAAAGGAGACGCTCCCTCGAGTGTGCTCTCGCGGATCGCTTCTGATCGCTTCTCGCAGGCTACATCGTTTTGCTCGGCTGATAACTTCATAGCAATTTCGCTCATCAGATGATAACCTTGCTCAAGTTTCACTGAAAATTTGCAACTAATCTGAAAAATTCTCATATCAATAACTTAACAGATTCTTAATATCAGTCTGGCACAGTCGCTCTTGTCCTATTTCCTCGGGGAGCGCGTAGTCTCATAAAGTAAAACAACGCTGGATGTTTCGTGATACATGATACACATATCTACACCATTGTTTGTTTTTTCAAAATGAGTGATTTTAATGAGCACAAGATTACAACTGTGTCAATTTTTATGAACTTTTATAATAATGAAACCTATAGGTACAATTTACTTTCTAAAAATTAGCTTTGAACATGGCGCCATTGCTTTTCGAACGGCGAATGCGTCTTTCGTCTTGCTGAGTAAGAAACTGATGTCTTTCCTCTGAATTTCCGTAACGTTTGTCTTGCAGAGACTAAACAAAAAAAAACATAACGCTCACTATGTACGTTGTGGTTCAATTTTATCATTGGTTTAAATTTTATTTTCTTTTGTTTTAAACTCACTATCATACATTACCATACCCAAAAACAAAGGGAAATAAATATGAATCGTGAACATGAATCTATATGATTCAGATGTGATGGTGATTTTTCAGCCTTGTGGCACATACATGAAAAGGATTTTTTTTTTGAGTGACATAGGCGGCTCAGACTTAAAAAAAACATAAATCCGACCGGTGCAACAATTTAACCGAGATCTCGGCGAGATTTATAATGGCGTAAAGATCTCGCCGAGACCTCTCCGAGACTGATTTGTAATGTCGCAGAGAGATCTCGGACGAGATAACCGAGATCTCGCTGAGATAAAAGAGATCTCAGTAATTCCAACGGAAGTCGAACCTATATGAACTTTTGGTTACTGTTCCAGATGTTAACAAGGGTGTACTCGTATTTCTTTTTTCTTCCGAGCCCGGCCTGTTCATGGACTGAAAAATTCTCATCAATCAAAAACGTTTTATAAAATATTTAGTTTTTTACCCTAAAGCGTCCAAATCCTCTCCCTTTGACATTAGCTGGAAACGGAGCGGCGGCGTCTACATCTTGATAACTTACAAGCAGTACAACTAGCAAAACACATGAGAGAAAAACCAGCGAAGACGAGATTTTCTTCATAGCGACGAACAAAAGGATGACAGCTAAGTGTGAACGGTTCCTGTATGTACTGCATAGAGTCTGCAACTTGACGCCTTTTGTACCATTCTAGTTGGACGTAATTTTAGTTTACTCTCTGTAATCGTCTTGTTAACTGACACGTATTTTTTTCTCTTTTAATGGGTTTTTAATACCTACAAGAGATGCATATAAATTTTTGTAATTGGTCATGCGATCCTGCGATGTAAAGTCAATTACTCTAATGGAAATTGATTTTTTGTTTTCCTGTCTCTCTCTTTTAACTATTGAAGAAGGCTAGTTTATGGTGATCCTTATCCCTTTCGTATCCTAGCAAATCTAAAGATAAGGCAACAAGGAGGTATATGACTCGGGCATGTATCAAAAGTGGAACCACTCATTCGTTATTATTGACAAAGGCGTCAGCGAAAGGATTTTTCACATGACGCCACCAAAATTCAAACTAAGAAACTACCGATTCTTCTGAGTTTCTACTTCATGAGGTATTACAGCACCTGAAGACCTTTATTTATACAAATTTTTGGTTCCATAGGGTTTTTCGTTTTGCCATAGAAGACACATGAATTTCCAGGTTTTTGCGTACGTGACGTGCCATTTAGCTGGCGGCCGGGTAAGCTCTTATGTGGGTTATAAACTTTAGTGATTGTTTGATATTTTGCTATGATCTAAACTTCCCTTGTCTTACGTACCTTTTTCCCTTTTAATGGGTTTTTAATACCTGCAAGAGATGCATATAAATTTTTGTAATTGGTCATGCGATCCTGCGATGTAACGTCAATTATTCTAATGGAAATTGACTTTTTCTTTTCCTATCTCTCTCTTTTAATTATTGAAGAAGGCTAGTTTATGGTGATCCTTATCCCTTTCGTATCCTAGCAAATCTAAAGATAAGGCAACAAGGAGATATATGACTCGGGCATGTATCAAAAGTGGAACCACTCATTCGTTATTATTGACAAAGGCGTCACTGGATGAAGGATTTTTCACATGACGCCACCAAAATTCAAACTAAGAAACTACCGACTCTTCTGAGTTTCTACTTTCATGAGGTATTACATCACCTAAAGACCTTTATTTATACAAATTTTTGGTTCCATAGGGTTTTTCATTTTGCCATAGAAGACACATGAATTTCCAGGTTTTTGCGTACGTGACGTGCCATTTAGCTGGCGGCCGGGAAAGCTCTTATGTGGGTTATAAACGTTAGTGATTGTTTGATATTTTGCTATGATCTAAACTTCCCTTGTCTTACGTACCTTCTTCCCTTTTAATGGGTTTTTAATACCTGCAAGAGATGCATATAAATGTTTGTAATTTGGTCATGCGATCCTGCGATGTAAAGTCAATTATTCTAATGGAAATTGATTTTTTTCTTTTCCTGTCTCTCTCTTTTAAGAGCGACGGTCAGGAAATATCGACCATCGAGTGGCAAGAGTTGAAAAATCGATTTCCTTCATTTTTTGTCCATAAATAGCTTTAAGGTAGATAAGTAATCTGATGTAAGGTGTTCTCGCAAAAAGCCTTTTATTTTCCAGAAAAGTAACAATATCAGTTTTCGTGGTTGGAGTCTCAAAATGGCCGTATTTTCAACCCGAAATTTGCTAGCATCAACTCTCCTCGCGTTCGCAAATAAAGCGGCAAGGCGAAACTTGGACACTTTCCATCCATAGAGCAACTCTTCTTCTTTCACTAGAAGATACTTTCAAAGCAATATCAAGACTTGTTGAACTAACATAATTCAGAAATGAAGAACAGGTTTTTACGATGACAAAAACTTTAATTTAGTAGTTGTTTTCTGCGGCATTTTTCTTCATGTGGTATAGCTCCAAATTTTCCCGGTCCTCGTTTATTCTCACATTTAGACATTCATCTAAAGCATACCTGAGAATTGGCTTGGGTTCCTTTAGGCAGCCTTCAAACGAAAGCATCGAAGTCCGGTAAAAATAGTGAAGCGTGACCAAAATAACTTATTTGACGGCTCCAAGTTTCCTCGATCATAAAGTAACAAGACGAACTATCTTCCTGTTCCCTCATCCTTAGCGAATTACCATTGTTAAAGTCCATAACTTCGATAAAAAGTGAGTACCAGAAAAAGCGCGTTTGACTTTTTCTTCTTCAAAATACTGTCGGGATCGAAAATGTTGCTCGTTCAAGAATTGCGTTGCGTTACTACCCTGATTCCGTGACTGTCATTTCAACGGCTCCGTCTCTTCAAACGTACGTTATGTCACGTGCAGTCACGGAACAGATTGTCACGCAGAGTCGCCGTTTGGTAGTGTTCAGTGTTTCAAAATGGCTAAAATTGACCCAGTTTCACCTTTTTACCCCACTCTTTGATTGAAAGAAGAAATTTTGCAATGGGAAAACCTACAAGAAGTACCAAAAAACGAGCCTTTAGGCTGAAAATATCTACTTTTGTGCGTTTCGAAATTGGAAGTGTTTACACAATTACCGCCGGCCTACCATGAAAATTCCTGAACTTCGATGGTGTCTTACGGAGATTACATTCAATAACCCAAGCCAATTCCCAGGTATGTTTTAAATGAATGTCTAAATGTGTGATTTAAATAGCATTAAGAGAATTTGGAGTTATACCACGTGTTAAATATCACTGGACGAAAAAATGGATTTAATGATATTTGCCTCAAAGACAAATCTAAGACAAATCTGACGTCAGATTTGTCCACCGATCAAATGCCCCAAATGTGAGACAAGTCTGTTGTCACATTTGTCTCGAAGAAATGTGAGACAAATGTGGTTCAAATATGCCATTATATTTGCCCTTGTACAAAGGTATTTAAAACAAGACAAATACGAGGACAAATAAATTCTTGACTTCTTTTTCCAGTAAAATCGCAATATAATTTGCTATTAATTGTTTAGAGATATTTTTGTTTATCTGAGAATTCCACGTTACTGAGATGTTTAAGATAGGGAAAAAGGAAAGAATTAGCTTTAAATTACCGATCTCTGCAAATATTTTTTAATCTTATTTTTGAAAAAAAAGAAAAAGTTTTTATCAATAGATTAGATGGCGTGACATTTTAAGATTTTATATACCCATGTATTGATAAGGAGTCTTTTGACGTTTTAGCGTATGCTAGCAAGCTTGCTCGCGAGGCAAGTGTGAGGCTCACTAGCCATTTTTCAGTAAAGATTGAAAAGTTAGAGTGGACGTAAAAGGAAAGAATCCCTCCTCCCTTTGACTCCTTTAACTGAGTTGTCAGTGTTCTGATTAGTGTTACTGCTGTGCTACTAGAAATATGAAAGTTCAACTCAAATTATTCAACCGTATGGTAGAGTCTTATTTGCACTACCACCCTACACTATATAGGGTCTAAACCACATCACCATATAAATTCGACATAATGAAAGGCCAAGGCAGTGGAGAAAATGTTCACTATAACGAGGTTTTTTTTCCCATACTTTTTACTTTTACTGGGATGAAAAATACCGTTCGTTATTCCGAGGACTTCATTATATCGGTTCGTTTAATATATATATCGGAGTTCCACTTTACAATCTATATTTTGACTGTATAGGTTATTTCTAACAGGCTATTAAGGTCTCTAATTAATATTGTACCAAGCCCAACAATCATAGAATCTCTCATCAGTGAATAATTAATGATAATAACACTGTAATAACATTAACTCCGTTTCATTCTGTTTCTTTTCCCCTGGTTTAGAAAGCTCTTTAACAGTGTTAGTTTTCATTTTTTATTAAATTTTTAACGCTGTCCACCCTGGGTAAACAATAAATGATTAATATTGAGGGCCAGGATGCGTATTGCAGTGAGTATTTGTTAAAAAAATAATTACAGTGAAATAAACTCAACCAGATAGGACCACCAGACATTAACCAATTATAGCTAATGTTTACATCAAGGAAGTCTGACTTTTTCCTTCTTTAGCCAATCAAAACCAAGAACACCGATTTAATTTCAATGTTTAGGTGGCTCCTGTTAAGTTTATCACAGTGTACCGTGAAAAAGGAAAACAAACTAAAAGAGTATAAATAACAATTATTGCTTGTTTCTCAATTCCCTTTTTCGAACATATATTTCATTTAGTAGGAAGTGTCCATCCATTTCAAAAAAGCATATGACAACTTAATCAAGATTATGCTTAACTTACAATCTCATTTTTGAATATCTTAATGGACTGTGATGGTTTCTCTGCAGTTCCATCACTAGAAATTAAACAGTCATTAGATATGCAAACATTTCCGGTAGTTTAGTCACAAGTAAATTTTTCTTTCAAGCGGCAGAACAAAGAGTACATTTTCTCTTCTCCATGTTTGGACAGTTCCAATAAATTTACATTTAATTCTCTGAACTGGTGTAAACGAAGCAGGTCCTAATGGCTCAAATATTTACTTTCTAATTCGCTTCGCTCAAACGAACGTAAATTATTTACCGCTTAAATAACCGCATCAAAAACCAGGCGAAGTCAGATATGGGTGGATCGCGTGCGAACCCTAACACTTTAATAAAAAGGAATCTTACAGCATTGGTAAAGGAAAAACAGATAACATATTTAAATATGAGCTAAATACCTAAATATTTCGTCACACTTAAACGATTACATTCTGTCTCTAAAACGTACATGTCTTTCGTTTCGTCTGTTTTCTAGCGCCCATGAAGCTTAAACAACCTCTCAGAAACGGCTTTGAAAGCGTCATCACTGATAACAGCTTTAGCACCCCCTGAACGCAGACTAAGTCTTTCAAAGTAGTCTTAAATATTTCCCTGCAGCGAGTATAGGATAACTTGCCATTCCTAAGAGTATAACCCGACTTGTTCTCCGTTAATGGCCTGAATAAAGGCAAATGACTTACGTAAGATAGCTAATGGGCAGTATTTGTTCTCTAACTTAGCGATATAAACATAATTGCCCGCTCTATATACATCCGTTTTACTCCTTGGCACAAAAATTTTAACAAAACCATCGCAAAACGTGAGGTGTTTTGGCTGAACACTAGCCAACTCGTTAAAACGAAAAAATCCTGCAAAACCTAATGAACTTATTGCGGCAATACGTAAGTCCTTTAAAGATGCTTCCTCAGCGCCCATGTTTGTCAATAATGCTTCTAATGATAGCAGGGTCCTGCAAATACCAGCACTAAAAGCTAGTTCAGAGTGACCAACTGCAAGGGCAATAAAGCTGGATAATCCCTACAAAAATTCGAACCTAAGCGAGCGAGGAGAACCAAGGAATGAACTTAAATTTCTTCCCAGGGTGAGAGCTTGGGATGCATTCAGCGTAAAGTATCCTTAATGAACGACCGATATTTGCTCGTCAGAAGAGGCCAAAAACTGGACAAAGGCCATAATGGGACTACAAGAGTAGCCATCGCTTTCTGTAGGCTCAGATAATGGATAACGCGAGCAACAAGAGAAACTGGAGGAACCACTAAACAATTCTCGGAACTTAAGTCTTGGGCAAAGAAGTCAATTCCTGACGCACCCGGATTCCAGAAACGCGAAAAGAATCTAGGAAGCTTAGCTGTATAATAATTGGCAAAACAGTCAACTGTATGCGGGCCCCATAACTCTTCCAAACTTAGAAAGAGATCATGCGTGATTTGCCAATCATCAAAGTCTATAAGGCGACTGATATAATCTGCCTTCTCATTTTCAGTTCGTGAGATCCACTGCACCTCCAAACGAATAGAGTGCTCCGCGCAAAACTGAAAAATTTTAATAGCAAGCCTGTGCAAATCCAATTTCATGCTTCCGACTTTTATAATTCTAGCCGCCGTCTGGCTATCGGTGAACCACTTGACAAGTGAACCTTTAAAATTGGCGCAAAAGACTCTAGAGAAAAATCAATGGCTGCAAGTTCTCTCCAAGTAGAGCTCTTAGAACATTCGGAAGGCTCCCAAAGCTTGTGACACACACAATCTTCATTAAGGGTAGTAACTGAACCGCACCCTGTAGCGCTGGCATCGCAGTAAGCGAAACGCTGTGGCTTATTAAAGAGAAAACCAATCGCGCACTTTGATAGAATTTAGGTTGTTTTTCCAAAAATATAGCTCCTCAATGCAATAGGGAGCCATCTTAACTTTCGAGTCCCAGTGCTGCGCGCTTAATGTAGACATAATGCAGTGCCTAGTCATGCTCCTAGAAATGTTCCCGGAAACAGGCGCTGTATAAATTATCTGCTGTAAAAGAGGCCAATCTTCTGGCAGAAAGAACAAAATCGGAGTCGATAATACTTTCAATGGTACTAGTAATTTTGGCAACCCTCCTATCCACAATTTCAATGGTTCCACGAGCGCTATCCCAAGTGATACCCAACCAATCAAGCCTGTGGCAAGGTATCCACACTGACTTATCCTCGTTAGTAACGAAACCCCCTAAAAAAGGTCAGTTCTAACGGCATCCGCTACAATACTGCACACTTGAGAATCCAATTTTCAATACCCCATCCGTCGTCAAGAAAAACAGCAACGCAAATGCTTTGATGCCTCCAATGTTTCTCAAGAGGCTAAGAATTTTTGTGAACACGTGAGGGGCGGACGATAATCCGAAAGGTTAAACTGTAAACACATAAAACTTCACTTGATTGGAACAAGAATGCTTCCAGGAAAAACCAAGATATGTTTGATGGCCCTAAAAAATTTCAACGTTGTGGTACCCACTTTTCAGATCGAAGGAGAAACATATATACACCACGCGAGAAGTAATACATAGCTGTTTTCCAGTCTTCTTATTTAACATGCGACTTACGAAGAAACTTGTTGACGTATCTTAAATCAAGAATGAGCCTCTTCTTTCCATTAGCTTGAACAGATACGGAAAAGGGGTTGACCACCCGGGGCGGTACATTGGTTTCCACAACACGACACGACTCAACTAAACTTGAATAGCCTCCTCAACAAACTCGGCATGTGAAAGAGACTATCTGTTGTTTTTGACAACCGCTGGTTCCGGAAAACTAACGAAAGGTAACAAATAGCCCCTTTCTATAACGTTAAGAATAAAACTAGGGGTTCCAATATGCTTCCAAAATTCGAAGTTTCTACGAAGATTTCCCTTGACGTTGACACACGGCGGACTAGTACTTAACTCAAAATCAAACAATTTGCTATCGCAATGTACCTGAGCGATATCAGCAACCTCCTCATCAACAACATTACTGCTCTGCACCGGGTTGAGTGTGAGCTCCGTGACTGGGTCTGTAGGGGCTGTACGAGTATCCTGGGGTGAATGTGGTTCCGCGATAAGCACTTCGTGGGCTATCCCAGGAGGCAGTGCATTCTCTTGCCCAGTGGCCGAGTTTGTGACATTTAAAGCACCTCGCGCGGTCCACGTAAGCATCTCTACCGCCTGAAAACAGATGAAATAAAAGCAGTATCAAAAGCAGATAAAATGAAAAAACACCCGTAGAAGCCTGAGAAAAGGGAGGGTGGGTGGGGCCAGATCTAAAACGTCCGAAGCAGTAAACAGCTCTAAAGTGCTAAGGTCGCACACGAGAGAGAGAGAACAAACTGAAAACAGCATCTCAAATAGGTAAACCGAACCAATCGGAAGTTACGATAAACGCACAGCGACACCAAAAGGCGACAAACTGTAACAAGAATGTGAAGCTAAAATAACAGTGGAAAATATATGTCCTTACACCAAATTTCAGTGTTGCCACTTCCATGCCTGTTCCTGTCTGGATGTCTTTGGAACCAGGAAACTCTGGCCATGACAAGAGTTTTTGGTTCTCCACCAAGAAAAATATTTTGCTTCTAGTAGTAGTGAACTACTCCTGGTCTTGTCTCAGATGATGTAAGATCGATCTGGCCGTCATCTCCAACCCAAGAAGCAATGACATATGATGATCGTTCACTCCTCAAGTCGAGGGATCCATATCGACCACCGCAAAATTCCACGCTGGCAAAACGATCAAATATTGCACTTTCATTAACCACATCAACTCCTTCAAGAAATGTTGAATAGGAGTGCATTAAATAATCAAGTTCATTATCTTCAAGATAATCCATCTTATATGGTGAAATACAAGAAAATAATTCATTGTCAAACCACTGATCTGATTTGGTCACAACACTTTCTGATAGTGTCAAGACAGCAACAGCTGAATTAATATCAAGGAGGGGATCTGAACTTCTGTTGTTCATTTGTTGGAATACTTGGCGAAAATGTTCCTGGAAGAGACTTGGAAATGGAAGGTCTCTGATTTCTTGATCTCGGAGAAATTTTCTCATGAGCTGAATCTCAACAGCTCTTTGATTAGTTTTGAAATCTCCAAAGATGCCATTGAAACGTCCAAATGAGAACAGCCAAAAGTTATGGACAGGTCCATAGTCCAACACACAGTTAATTATATGTGTATGGAGATGCATATTAGGTGTTACTGCCATCTGTCCATACATTGATTCAAACTTCTTGCAGAATTGCATAAGAAAAGAGTGAGCCTCACCAAGAGAGCGAATGGTGATAATTGCGGCTGTTAGTATTCTGCAAGCTTTAACAAACAAGAGCCACAACTTGTAATCTTCTGAGGGAAGAAATTCCTTAAGGGTGAACTCAGAGTACACCACAGTCCATAGTTTCCACTGATCAGAGGTAAAACTTCCAAAACTTGAGGCAATTTTGTTTGGAATCCTTCCCATATTTGAAGGCACTTTCATACTATCAATCATAACCTGGATTGATTTCAAATCAGCATGTTTTAGTTTCTTGTTTGGAAGCTAAATATTCTTGACCATATGTTTAGCAGTCCCCAAAAATAGATAATGCATGGGATCAATTATTGTAAATCTGATGCAATTAAAGTACTCCAATTGCATCAGTTCTGTGTAGCGTGTACCATATTTGGTTTGCTTGTACTCCCGTCCTTGAAGAGTATCTTCAAGCAAGATTTCTTGGGCTTCAGAACGGTGCTCTTCATTTGTTCGATGCAGACAATTCTCAAATCCTCCGAAGTTCATTTTGTCACCAAAATTCTTACCAGGAATGAATTTCTTTTTACACTTTGAACAGCCGCGTACAGCACCATGTCCTAAAAATCCACATAGTTTTCTTGCTGCAGGTACATCACAAGCTACTAAAAGTAAGGCTGCAAAAAACTTCTGAGACATTCCATATGATCCAGAATGGAAAACCTCAATTCCATGTTCCCATAGTTCATTAAGTTCTGTAACCACTGGGACGAGAAATGGGTTCAAACTTGAAGGTTCACCAGGACCAGGAATGATTCCAACTACAATAATGTTCTCTCTTTTGAATCTCTCAGCACGGGGTAAGTTCATAATGGCCAGATAAATAACGCCAACACTGTATGGTGAATGTTTAAAGGGCTGAAACCAATCAACATTCATCATGAGGCCTAAATTCCTTTCATGACTCATGAAACGAGTACCATCTCTGCCTTTAAAGTCTCTCCATACAGTTCCATGGATCACATCACTCAGTAAGCCCTGAATGCTTGATGTTTCCCTTTCTCTCCAGAGCTCACAGCGCGAAGCAAAAACAAGACGCTGGAGGAAAATGCGTAGTGTTTCAATAATGCTATTGTAGCAATACACTTTAATAGGATACAGTTTCGTCTTTCCATCTTGAAGCTTCACTTCTTTCAAGAGAACTTCATTGCATGGTTTTCGATGTGCTCAACATACGAGCATTTCTTGGAAACTCTTTGACTACCTACTTTCTCAAAAGCAGAGTTGTAATTGTAGAGAGAATTGCACTTTGGGCAAACCACAAACTTTTGAAAGCCATCCTTATGGAGGTTGAAATGTTTCTTCAGTATATATAAACTTGATGGAAATGATGCAAGAAACAATGACATCCATGGAATGCGTTCTGATATGACAGAAAAAAAAAGCAGGCAAAAACTGGGGAAGGAGTTCAGTTCCTCGATCAGCAATATTACAATAACTCCACCAATAGCAAATAAACAAAAGTATCCAGTTGATAAGAAAAATTCTGCTCTGGGATCCAGCAGCAGGGAAATTCAATTCGTTGACATCCTCCAAAACAGTTTCTTCCACTAAATCATCCCATACCTCATGGCTTGCAGAACAATTGCTTTCACAGTACAGACTGTCAAATTCTTCAGGTTCAGCAATGCATTTTTGAACAAATGCTTCATCAAACAACCGGAGGTCTTCATCATCTAGGTCTCCAAAGTGGGGGTTTTGAGCATCCAGAATGTCATTTATATCATCACCTGCAAGTGCCAATAGGCAAAAGGCGAAAGTTCAGTTATGTAATGAAACAAATTGTTATATTCTTTTCCCTATACAGGATTGTAACTAAGAGAAGAGGGCAGGGGGCTAGTTTTTCTTTTGGTTACTATGAGTATGACCCAGGATTACTTAGCTGGGAAACAAAGGGAAAACAGAACCAAAACAAATTCGTGGATGTTTAATTCCCCACCAACTGGTAAACCAAGTATCTCTATAGCCTGCAGAATTGTTTTTGTGCGTGTGAGAGTTTTGCGTTGTTTCCTAAGGGAGGTATAGGACTCTCAGGTGGCATTTGATTGATGCATTCCTGTTCTCAGCCAATAAAAAAATTTTCTTCTGCAGTGACAAAACCATTCAAAACACCATAGTCTTCAAAGCATCTCCACCACATTTTCAAAGCATCTCCACCACATTTTCCTCAAGACTTTGCAGCCCCTCTTCCTTTAATTTTCCTCCCTTAAATGTTCTCGTCAGCTACACAGGATACTAAACAGTTCCTATAACAATCAATCTTCTTGATTTTATGCAGGTGCAGTACGATTGCATGAGAATTTATATTATTTTATGAAAGAACATCATTGCAGTTATAGATGCAACTTTTGCAGTTGTGAAAAGAAAGCCTGAAGAAAATATTCAGGCTTGTACAGGATTCGAACCCTTGACCTCTGCGATACCAGTGCCGCGCTCTACCGCCAACTGGGAGCACGTTGTTTAATTGGTTCGTTATAAATCTGTGAAAGGACAATGATGAAGTTATGAATATATGACAATCATATACTCCACCGGTATTGTAGAGGTCAAGGGTTGAGGGGTCGTGTATACTAAAAAATATAATCATTCTTATCTTACTACGGTATACATAAAAGATTAAAAATGTACATTAAATTTAAGAAATAAGATTAAAATTTAAGAATTATAATTGCATGAAAATTCGTACTCTTGTGCCAAGGTCTTGGCAAATTTTAAGTAATTTTGGTAAGATTTCTATAATAACCCCAAACATTATCCTCTTCAGAAAAATAAAGGTCAAAGGCGCAGGCTTGACCTGAAAATGAGCCCTCCCCTACAAAAAAGTTACCAGTTCGTCGGTTCGTTGGATGTTCGTGGGATTTATGTTACATAATACATATATGTATGGGGAACGCGGAAATCTTACCATTTTCTATCACGGCTAAGATTATTAGCTTTACCGTTTGAGCTGCGATTGCGATTGTCTTGGCCACTTTGGCATTCTAAGTTGTCCTCAAACGCACCAAGATCTTCCCGATCGCTTTCAGATGGCACTTCGCTATTGTCAGGGGCACCCAACGAGAATAAAGTTCAAAACCACTTAAACATAGCATTGTTAAACTATTTTAGTATCTAAACGGTAGATAAAGGCATATTTTTATCCCCTAAAAATGTTTCATCTGTTCGGATTTCCTAGCTGAAAGTCTAGTGATCCGAAAATTATAGGGATCAAAACTTAGCTTTTCCAAAATTTCAGCCAGAAAAAAGGCTCCCGAAAATTCTAGGTGACCTTTTTAGGGTAAAAATCCGTTAAAAATGGGTAATTATACCATTTTTCAGATGTTCGAAAATCCTAGGAGAGGCAAACAAGCAAGAAATTTTACAACAAATGTTCCGAAAATGCTAGATCTTAAATCGTCTTCCGAACAGATATTTTCCGAAAATTGTCGTTGGATGCCCCTGTATTGTCACTGTCAAAGAAAGCTTCATTTGTTGCTGCAAGATCTTTTAGATGTCTTGATCGCGTACCTCGACTCACAAAATCATTGCAGTGACTGCAAAAATACCTCTTTTTGCCCATGTTGTCCGACGTCGTTCTTGGCCGGGGGACGGTGCGCTTTTTTGATTTGTAAACAAAATATGTTAATGTGCTATGCTCGCGTGCTCTATTTCCTCCAATCAAGTGAATGAAATGACCAGTTTGATGGTGTTTAGCATAATCGGCGGGATTTTGAGCGTCATTTTGCTTACGATTTGTCGAGCAACGTGGTCTCTTGTTGTTGTGTCCATCTGAGTTGTCTTCTTTTCGTTATAAATTCTCCGATATGTATCGCCCAAGTACTCCAACTTCAGGAAGAAATGATGACTTTTTTGCGGATTCACCGCAAAGACCGATCACACAGCAACGCACGGTAAGCGTGTAACTATTTTTGATTCTTTGGTTTCGATTTCAGTTTTCTTTGTTCTTTTGTCAATGGAGAAATTGATCCAAAATGCAACAAATACTAGTAATGAAAAACTGTAATAAAGTAAAACGTTCTCCTATTCCTTTATGTTTAGGTAACAGTTCCACGAGGACAAAATCGTCCTAACGTTCTTGTCACCAGAAACCGTCAGGACATCCGTCGCCCACTAAGCGATAGTACCAGCCGGGAAGCCCCTTTAAATATTGATTTAGATATGGACGAAGATACGTCGCCCACTTTCCACCAAGCTAGCCGTTCGATTAGAACGCCGAGCGCAATTTCGTCGACGCCAGAAAACAGTACACCTTACGGATCGCGTTGCAATGACATGCACACTCAGGTGCTGAGGTTGCAACGTCAAATTGCTCTGCTCGCAGACAAAATAGATCAGTTGCAAGACTCGCCAGCCGCCTCGACACAAGTCACAAATGCATCCAGCAAACAAAGGAACCTTCCTAGAGATATGGTTGTGAGTATAACAGCAATTACTATTTATCCTTGTCACGTAGATCGAAGCTGGACAGAGGAATCTTAGTACTTTTGATTGACACATTGAAGCCCAGAAGGAATGTATGGAACCTTGGTTGTTTACCATTTATCATCCATGTATGATCTGTACTCTAACAGATCATGGGCAACAACCAATCACAGTGTATGCGCATCATTGTATATTATGATAGATAGATATTAGATAAATGTTTTAATTAGTCAAGGTAGTCTTATCACTGCTTGTGATGCCGCATGTACACGTAATGTGCCAATCAATTCGAATCTTCAGTAATCCCCACCGACCACCACCCGTGGGGTGTTACGAAAACTAACACCCCCTAAAATATATCCGGGTTGTGATCTAGCAGAGCCTGGTGGCCCCTGGCGCATAATTTTTGCCCTCAGGCGACTAGAAAATCATCGCCATTTCTTTGTAAGAAGCACAATTTTCTGAGTAGTAATTACGGTAAACATTGCCTTGGACAGTAAACTTGTAATCCAGCTCTGCTACTTTAAAACTGTTTATTTGTTTCTCTAGTTGAATTGTTGAGGACGTTAATGGCAAATTAAGATTTTAACTTTCAATTTTGTTAGATATGTGTAACAAAACTTTTGTTATTAATAGTTATTGTTGCTGACTTCAGAAGTAATTCAGAGCGTAGTTATTGCCCACAAGTTGAGTGCTGTCAAGAATGAAGTTTTAGATGAACGAGATACAAAACAGTATTATTGCAATAACAAAGGGATGAATCACGTCTGAAGTTTGAAACAATTTTGATAACAAGGTTGAGTGTTCAGGGAAAATTGTTCTCCAAATGTGCAATCCAAATTGATGTGTGACTAACTACCTGGAAAAGCTGTATCTATCTCTGAAATGACTCTAATAATGATGCAGAAAAAACTTTGCTTGCCTTTTTTGAAAAGAGAGTGTTAGCAAGTGAATATACAACCGCTTTACATAGAGTTGTTCTAACATATATATTAATGCCTTTAATTCATAGAAACTCAAGGCACGTAAAGAAGCATTGATTCAGTCTTCTTACAGTGAGGAGAAAAAAAGGCGTCTTATGGAAGTCCTCACTGTAGACTATATGTCCCCTGAGGAAAGCGAATGTGAGGAGTCTGATGAGAATTCAGACCATCCTCAGCTCAGTAAACTGATCATTCGTAAGCTCCAGTGGCGTTCAGACGAATTAACCAGGGAGTTGAAGAGCCTTGACAGGAAGTCATATAGATCAAAAAGCCAGAGGGCCCGCCGAATGATGGTAAAAAGGGAGGTTGGAGGCTTTATTGCAGATAGCCTTCACTCACACCCATCAGGAGCACCAGCCTGGGCTCTTGTTGGCAGTCTAATACCAAGGCGTTAAGATAAAAATAATACAGCTTTGAGCATGACGTTTATGACAAATGCATAAACTTGAATTTTTGCCATGTGTTATCACCTGTTTACTTTACACTTGTGTGAAGAAAATATTTTTTTTCTGCCACACTGAGGTTGTTCTTAATTTCCCTCTGAAATGATTGATATATTACAGAAAGAAAAAAAGTGAGAAAATCAGAATAAGAATAATTTTTCATCTTGACTGAAACATCATGCTTAAACTTACCTAGTGACAAGGTTTTTATTTTCACTTATGAAATTGTCAAAGGTGTGTAATGGCCCAGTTCAGACACCAAACTTTTCATGAGCCGAACCTAATTTGAATTAAGGCTGACCCAAACTATTAGACTGCCTGAATTGATTCAGATGCCGCCGATCTTAATTCCAGCCGAACTAAATTCAAAGAGAAAAATGCTCATTTTGGTCAAACTGCTTGCAAAATACATTACTGTACTATAATTTATGCATTAGGTTCAGTACGTGAAAAGTTCGACGTCTAATCGAAGCCATTCCAAAGTCGTTCCACAGTCAAAATTCCTGCCCAGGCTAGATGTGAAGAACAATTGGGCCGTTCCAAATTGAAATAGGCGTTCATAATTGATTCAGACGCCGAACGTTTCATGCACTTACTTCAATGTATTAGGTTCGGCTCATGAAAAGATCAGCGTCTGAGCCGGGCCTAAGAAAGTCCTTTTGTAGAATATTGCTTTTCTTGCTTTTCTTGATCTATAGGTATGTTATTTTGCTTGTGTAAGTTGGGGTTATAATTTTCTTACTCCTATCTTTAAAACACATTGGCTCAACAAAAAATATATCTTTCAATAATATTTGGCTCAAAGCTTAGTTAGTTTGTCTGGCGATAAGTGTAACAATATTCTTCTTTGCTCTTCAATGTTTATGACGTTTTAAAAATACTTTTAAAGGCAAAGGTCAATTATTGATATAAATTATGTATTTATTTTATCGTTGAAAAAGTCAGGCAATGGCGGACGCACGTGGTCTCACAAGGCTCGGTATCCACACTACCTTTTTCATTTTGTATTTATTATTAATCGCTGAAACTCCTGAAATCGTTAAAGGCAGATACTTCAAGGGTTATGGTTTTGGTATTGGTTTGAGGTCCCGGCCACAGAATGTGTATCGACCTGAGCGTCCTGCTGGTGCGAAGTTATCCTTACGTGGTTCAAACCTTACGAGCGTTACTCGACAATTTCCTCGCGTTCATATGCCCCGAATAAGATGGACTAGACATGGTCACCAATGTTTATGGCTGCCTGATGTCTTACTCTACCATGACATTGAATTTAATCCAGGTCCGACGGAGAGGAGACCAAAATGTGTTACGTGTAATATGGCGGTACGAAGAAACCAGGCGGCCATTATGTGCAGCAACTGTGCTTCTTGCTTCTATGCGAAATGCACAGGTCTATCAAAGGACGTTCTCAATAATATCTACAACTCCTTCGATACATGGTTCTGCCTGACCTGTAGTTTACCACCTTTCTCGGACTCATTCTT